CTGTATGTGTGTGTGTGTCTGTGTGTGTGTGTGTGTGTGTGTGTGTGTGTATGTGTGTGTGTGTGTCTGTGTGTGTGTGTATGTGTGTGTCTCACCTTACTGCGGCTGAGTCTGAACAGACAGAAGACGAGCAGGTAGACAGGATAGACCAGCAGACAGCTCACAAGCCCCGCCCACAGCGTCTCCGCATTCACCGAGACCAGAGCAGACACCGGCATAGAGCTAAACACACGTTCACACATTAATCATATTTTCAATACAATATAATTGCACAGTAAATTGAGGGCCGCTGCTTCACCTGTTGCCGTAGGAGACGGTGCCGTACCACACGGCGTTGGCCAGCATGCAGAGCTGCATGAGCAGAGCGCAGCAGGTGAGCCGCTGCAGCCGCGTGAAGGGGCTCCGTGGAGGACGCTCCCACAGAGAAAACCAGACGTGACTCTCACACACGGCCCTCTGCAGCTCCCAGGACAGCAGCCGCGGCCGCTCGCGCAGCTCCGCCTCCTCTGCACACAGGAAGCACAGAGTCAGCAGAAGGAAGCTGGGCAAGCGTTATCAGCGGACACTGGCGAGCGCTGGGCTTTCACTCATTTGTGCGCAGTGAGTGATGTGTTAATGGGGCATGAGGCAGAAGTGAACACTTGCTGTACTAAGTAGGCTAACTAGTTAGTATATAATACCTACATAACAGCCCACTCCAACTGAGCATAGTTGGGAGCTATACATTTAAATTAGTGCTGTCAAACGATTAATCGCATCTAAAATAAAAGTTTTTGTTTACATAGTATATGTGTGTGTACTGTGTATATTTATTATGTATATATAAATACACACACATACAGCATATATTTTGAAAATATTTACATGTACCGCTTCTTTTATACTATTTTCTATATATTCATATAAATAAATACTTTACATAATATGTTTTTATATTTTACATTCATTTTATTATAAATACATATATATTCATACACATTCATATATATACACATACACACCCAATTTAAATTTTGTTCCAATTTAGCCTAATTTAGTAACAAAAACAGGAAAAAAGTTGTTTTGTCAATGAAATGCACCTAACTCTATCCTGTATTTTAGGTGAATAGTTAGTTTTTCATTATGGAGGACCTGCATTAGGTTTACTGTCCACTAAAACTAACAATGTAATGTAACTTCTTATTAGCAGCAACGCATTACTGTTAATATTCACGAACATTATGAGCAAACAGAGAATTTAAAGGACTTAATTTCCACTTCTTAAAGCATTATGATTGGTTCTTACCCTTATCCATTCTCTAAATATTCATGACCTTATTAATCTAATTCCAGCTCCAACCAATCACAACAGGTGTTGCATCTGTGGAGGCGGGGCTTTACCTGAGGCTTCCACCTCTATCTCGACTCTGCCGTCTGTTTTCTCATTGTCGACCGAGAGCCACTCCTCAACCAGGAAGAAATAAGTGCTGGCCGACTGCAGGTCCTTCACCAGGACGTACTGGAGCAGCCATGCAGGAGACAGACCTGACAGACAGACAGACAGAGAGAGAGAGGTTTATCCTGACTCCACACTGCTCGTGTTGTTCAAGGCCGATCCGTTCAGTACCTTTGTTGTCGTGCCACACGCGGATCTTCAGCACGCTGCCCAGGCTGCTGTCGGAGGCCATGTGGAAGATGTCCAGGCTGTTTCGAGCGAAAGCGCCGACGCTGTCCAGGTGTCTGTGTCCACTGCGGCTCTCACTGCCGTGAAGACTGATGCCGACGTGAGCCGTGGTTCCTGCAGCGGGAATAAAGAGCTCAGACTCCAGCCAGCTCACTCCAGACAACTGCCAGTCACTCATTGAGGGATATTCATCGCTCGAATGCATAAACCTGACAGTCTGTGGGTAACTGATCTGATGTAAACAAACAAGCCTCAGACACCACCAGGGTTATTATAGTTAACTAAAACCAAAACCATAAAAAAAAAACATTTTTCTTACTTGAAATAAAGGCAACTTAAATAAACTAAAACATTAAAAAACTATTTTTAATTATTTCAGTTAGTGGCCAAAGCAAGATTTCTCATTTTAATATAGTTTAACTTCATGTACTAAAATAACAAAACTAACTAAAAATGACAAAATAAATAAAAAATGATATAGACATATTAAAAAAAGGACAAAAACACAACACTAATATTTGATCTAAAATCGAAACGAAATGTAAAATACAAAAATAAAAACTAATTCAAATTATATATAAAAAAATAAAACTATAATAGTATTTTCATGATACTAAAATAACACATAACATTTAAAAAATGTTACTTGAAATAAAATGAACATTAATTGAAGAAGAAAAAAACCTAAAACGTATTTGAGTTAGAGGCCAAAGCAACGTTTCTCATTTGTGTACTATAACATGGTATAGTAAAATAAGTAAAACTAAAACGGAAATAAAAATGAACTAAAACTAAATAGACATATTTGAAAATGACAAAAACACACAACAAAATAGCTAAAACTTTAACTAAAATAAAAAATGGAAACTACAAAAATAAAAACGAATTGAAAATATATATAAAAAAGCCAACTAATAGTATTATTTAGGAATTTATCTAGGAATCTGCAATTTTAACCACACGCAAATTTCACTTATGTTAAATTTGGTGACATGAATTCATTGTGTTCATTGTGCTTCACATATCTACACTATTGATAATAGACAACTGCCCTTTTTTGGCCGTAAATTCTGGCACCTTCACAGACACCTGGATACAGTGAGGCAGAACTAGTCTCTTTAACATGTCGATCGGATGGTCTCTTTCAGTCTAAGTGGACGGTCAGACTTTCCTAACCTACTGATGATCTGCGAAACATCCGCATCTCACCTGCTCCGTAAGCCCAGCCGGTCTTGACCTGGATCTCGTACTTGTACAGCCCGTCCTTCCCACACAGCGGCACCACAGAGGCCCGTCTCAGGTCCATCTGATCCAGCTTGCGCATTATAGCACCGGCCACAGCGTAACACAGCAGTCCGATCACACACACCAGCACCACCACCAGACTACGAGTCACCGAACAGTTAACATATTATCATTTTTTTTTTATTTTAATATAATTTTTTCATAAATTTTTCATGTTAAAAAAATTATATATATACACACGTACACACACACACACACACACACACACACACACACCCTAACATCCATATGTGATGGTTATTTAATATTAAAATGTTATTATAAAAATATTTAATATTGTATTTAACATTTCTTCTTTTATACTATTTTCTATATATTCATATAAATAAATACTTTACATAATATGTTTTTATATTTTACATTCATTTTATTATAAATACATATATATTCATACACATTCATATATATACACATACACACCCAATTTAAATTTTGTTCCAATTTAGCCTAATTTAGTAACAAAAACAGGAAAAAAGTTGTTTTGTCAATGAAATGCACCTAACTCTATCCTGTATTTTAGGTGAATACAGTTAGTTTTTCATTATGGAGGGCCTGCATTAGGTTTACTGTCCACTAAAACTAACAATGTAATGTAACTTCTTATTAGCAGCAACGCATTACTGTTAATATTCACGAACATTATGAGCAAACAGAGAATTTAAAGGACTTAATTTCCACTTCTTAAAGCATTATGATTGGTTCTTACCCTTATCCATTCTCTAAATATTCATGACCTTATTAATCTAATTCCAGCTCCAACCAATCACAACAGGTGTTGCATCTGTGGAGGCGGGGCTTTACCTGAGGCTTCCACCTCTATCTCGACTCTGCCGTCTGTTTTCTCATTGTCGACCGAGAGCCACTCCTCAACCAGGAAGAAATAAGTGCTGGCCGACTGCAGGTCCTTCACCAGGACGTACTGGAGCAGCCATGCAGGAGACAGACCTGACAGACAGACAGACAGAGAGAGAGAGGTTTATCCTGACTCCACACTGCTCGTGTTGTTCAAGGCCGATCCGTTCAGTACCTTTGTTGTCGTGCCACACGCGGATCTTCAGCACGCTGCCCAGGCTGCTGTCGGAGGCCATGTGGAAGATGTCCAGGCTGTTTCGAGCGAAAGCGCCGACGCTGTCCAGGTGTCTGTGTCCACTGCGGCTCTCACTGCCATGAAGACTGATGCCGACGTGAGCCGTGGTTCCTGCAGCGGGAATAAAGAGCTCAGACTCCAGCCAGCTCACTCCAGACAACTGCCAGTCACTCATTGAGGGATATTCATCGCTCGAATGCATAAACCTGACAGTCTGTGGGTAACTGATCTGATGTAAACAAACAAGCCTCAGACACCACCAGGGTTATTATAGTTAACTAAAACCAAAACCATAAAAAAAAAACATTTTTCTTACTTGAAATAAAGGCAACTTAAATAAACTAAAACATTAAAAAACTATTTTTAATTATTTCAGTTAGTGGCCAAAGCAAGATTTCTCATTTTAATATAGTTTAACTTCATGTACTAAAATAACAAAACTAACTAAAAATGACAAAATAAATAAAAAATGATATAGACATATTAAAAAAAGGACAAAAACACAACACTAATATTTGATCTAAAATCGAAACGAAATGTAAAATACAAAAATAAAAACTAATTCAAATTATATATAAAAAAATAAAACTATAATAGTATTTTCATGATACTAAAATAACACATAACATTTAAAAAATGTTACTTGAAATAAAATGAACATTAATTGAAGAAGAAAAAAACCTAAAACGTATTTGAGTTAGAGGCCAAAGCAACGTTTCTCATTTGTGTACTATAACATGGTATAGTAAAATAAGTAAAACTAAAACGGAAATAAAAATGAACTAAAACTAAATAGACATATTTGAAAATGACAAAAACACACAACAAAATAGCTAAAACTTTAACTAAAATAAAAAATGGAAACTACAAAAATAAAAACGAATTGAAAATATATATAAAAAAGCCAACTAATAGTATTATTTAGGAATTTATCTAGGAATCTGCAATTTTAACCACACGCAAATTTCACTTATGTTAAATTTGGTGACATGAATTCATTGTGTTCATTGTGCTTCACATATCTACACTATTGATAATAGACAACTGCCCTTTTTTGGCCGTAAATTCTGGCACCTTCACAGACACCTGGATACAGTGAGGCAGAACTAGTCTCTTTAACATGTCGATCGGATGGTCTCTTTCAGTCTAAGTGGACGGTCAGACTTTCCTAACCTACTGATGATCTGCGAAACATCCGCATCTCACCTGCTCCGTAAGCCCAGCCGGTCTTGACCTGGATCTCGTACTTGTACAGCCCGTCCTTCCCACACAGCGGCACCACAGAGGCCCGTCTCAGGTCCATCTGATCCAGCTTGCGCATTATAGCACCGGCCACAGCGTAACACAGCAGTCCGATCACACACACCAGCACCACCACCAGACTACGAGTCACCGAACGCTCCTGACAGATGACACTGCTTTATCACTATCCCATCAGACCATACCTCCTAAACTATACTTTAATATAATATAATATAATATAATATAATATA